AGGCTCTAAGGGTAGGCCCAGGGTAGGCCTAGGCCTACCCAATCCTTTTCTTGTCTCGCCATCCCTGGGCCTACACGCCCAGGCCTAGGTACGTCCTCGAGCAATTTCTTGTTTCGCCTGAGACATCCTCGAACGAATCTCTCGTTTCGCTTGAGACATCCTCGGCGAATCTCTCATTTCGCTGGAGACACCCTCGAGCAATTGCTTGTTTCGCTTGACACATCCTCGAACAAATCTCTCGTTTCGCTTGAGACATCTTCGGCAAATCTCTCGCTTTGCTTGAGACGCCCTCGAGTATATGCTTGTTGCGCTTGAGACATCCTCGAGGGTTCTCTTGGGGTTCTCTTGAATTCATCGAGTGGGAGCCTCGATTCTGGGCCATTCGACATTTTTCTTCGCGCCCAGCCTCGGTTAGCTCGCAATAGTAGCGCCTCGGCCATCTAGAGTGCCTCACTCGACTCAACCCTGGCCTCTCTCGACTGAAGCTCGTCGTCCTGGAACTGCGTGGGCTCGCCTGGCTGGAGCGGCTCGGCTGTCTTGCCGCGCGCGAGAGAGGCCCTCCACTTGTTCTCTTGGGTGGGGTCGAGCTCGGTCTCGACCTCCGTCTCGGTCTCCGCCCTCTGCTGCTTGACGTCGGTCTTGACCGCAGTCTCGATCTTGAGCTCCGTCTCGATCTTCACGGTTGTCGGCTTGGACTTCCTCGAGTTCTGCGTTGATTTTTCACGACAGAAGGCATGGGCTCCCTCGGCGCTTGCGCTGGCTTCTTGGAGACAGTCGTCCGCTTGGCCATGTCGCCTGCAGCGCGCCTGAGCGGTGCGTTCCTCGCTCGTGCTCGAAATCCTTGAGCCAGAGTGAACCGCGGGAAGAGACATCCTCGAAAGCACTCTCGCTTCGCTTGAGACATCCTCGACAAATCACATCTTTCTCTTGACATATATTTGAACTTTTGCGTTACTTCGCTTGAGAGATCCTCGACGCATAGCTTGTTTCGCTTGAGACGTCCCCGGCATAATTGTTTGTTTCGCCTGAGACTCCTCAGGCTATTGATGCATTTGCTTGGCATCCTTGAAATAAGTTGATGTTTCGCTTGAGACGTCCTCAAACAATTGCTTGTGTCGTTTGAAACATCCTCGCATGCGTGCTCGTTTCGCTTGAAATATCCTCGAACAAGTGCTTATTCCGCTTGAGACATCCTCTGCAAGTCTTTCGCTTCGCTTGACATGGCCTCGAGCCATTTTCGACGCGCGATCGGGGCATCTTCCTTAGGTTTTCTCGAAGCACCCTGAGCGCACGCATCTAACTCGAGCGCCCCTCGAGTATCCACTGGCTGTGCGTGCGCTCGTAGGGCGCCCTGGCTTGCGCCTCGGCGTCCGAGGCTGGCTCGGTCGCCCCAGTGTCGGGGCTCGAGAACACTACGTAAACCCCGGGTTTCTCTAGTAGGCGCGTGCCCTCCTCGGGCATGAGCTCCTGCCGCTCGGTGTCCTCGTCGTCATGCTCGTCGGTCTCGCTCTCGGGCTTCTCTGGTGTTTCGGGCTCTCGGGACCTCGGGCTCCCGACCTCGTCCTCGGACTCCGCGGGCGTCTCGAGTTCGTCTCGGTCTCGTCCTCGCTTCTTCTCGCCGCTGCTGCTGCCGGCCTGGAGCTCCTTCTCGCGGACCTCGGGTTTCTCGGGCGTCTCGGGTTCCTCGAGCTCTTGGCGCTTGGTGTCCTCGTCGTCAAGCTCGTCGGTCTCGCCCTCGGGCTTCTCTGGTGTCTCGGGCTCTCGAGACCTCGGGCTCTCGGCCTCGTTGTTCGGGAGCTGGGCGTTCTCCTCGAGCGCCTCCTGCTCCTCGAGACACTGCGTGTTCTCGGGCGGTCCTGTGAGCCCGAGCTCTTGCCGCATTGCCTCGAACATGTCTTGGGCGTTCTCGAACGGCGCGAGGCTCTCCTCGGAGAAGATGCCTCGCCAATCGCTCGGGAGACGAGCAGCCATGTCCTCGGGGAAGATGTCTCGCCAACGGCTGCGAGGGCGGTCAGCCACTGATCTCGGCGATCTCGATCGAGACCCTTGCCTCTGAGATTTCCCGGACTCGATGCGCTGTTCCATTGTCGCCTTGGAGCAACTATCTTGGATAGATCGAAATCTTGAGCCACCAAATGGCTACGTATATTTATGGTGCTCGTTTCGCTTGGGACGTCTTCGAAGAACGTGTTTGTTTCGTTTGGATGGTCCTCGACGAGCGTGCTCGTTTCGCTCGAAGCCTCCTCCAACCTTTACTACTATCGCTGGAAAGGCCCTTCGAGGCCTTTCCTAGGCCCACCCTAGGGCCTACCTCTAGGCCTGCCCTAGGCCTACCCCTGGGGCCTACCCCTGGGCCTACCCTAGGCCTACCCCGAGGGCGCACCCCTAGGCCTACCTTAGAGGGCCTGCCCCTAGAGCCTACCCCTAAGGCATACCCCTAGGGCCTACCCCCACGCCTACCCCTAGGGCCTACACCCCTGGGCCTGCCCCTCGGGCCTACCCCTAAGCCTACCTCTAGGCCTGCCCCTAGAGCCTTCCCTTAGGCCTACCCTAGGCCTACCCCTAGGGTATCCCTAGGCCTACCCTGGGCCTGGCCCTAGGGCCTGTAGTAGGGCGACAGGGGTGAGGAGAAGAACTATATATATATATATATATATATATAAAAAAATAGAAAGATAGAAAGAGAAGAAGAGGAAGAGGAGGCAGGGGAGGAAGAGGAGGAAGAGGATGAGGAGGAGGAGAGAGAGTAAGAGGAGGAAAAACAAGAGGGAAGCAAAACACCAAAGTTCAAAACGTATTATATTAAATCTGTAAGCGCTTAATGAACATTTCAATTTTAGCTCACGTGCTTAGTTTTTCACAGGGTAATCACCCCCCGCGATAAACAAGTTCAGGGGGGCAGGGAGGCAAGAAGAGCAGGGGGGGCAGAGGAAGAGGAATAAGCAAACATGAAAAGGTCAAAACTTATTAGATTTAATTTGCAATCGCTCAATGAAAACTAAAATTTTGCTCATGTGCTCAGTTTCCCCATGATAATCAACCCCCGCGATGAACAAGCTCAGGGGGGCAGGGAGACAAGAATAACAATAAGTAGAGAGAGGGAGATGAATAAATCAGAAAAGAAAGAGCAGAATGATGGTAATGAGGAAGAGCAGGAGTAGCAGGGAAGAGGAAGAAGCAAAAATCCAAAGTTAAAAACTTACTAGCTTTCATTTGTAAGCGCTCAATGAAAACAAAAATTTCCATCTGCTCGCGCGGGGTAGCTCACGCGCTTAGTTTTCCAGGATAATCAACCCCCGCGATGAACAAGTTCAGGGTGCCAGGGGGAGGAGGAGAAGGAAAGAGAGAGAGACATACAGAGAGAGAGAGATAAACAGAACAGGGAGAGAGAGAGAGAGAGAGAGAGAGAGAGAGAGAGGGAGCGAGAGAGAGATTGGGAAACACAGAGATAAACAAAGAGAGGAGAGAGAGAGAGAGATAGAGAGAGAGAGAGATAGGGAGAGAGAGAGAGAAACAAAGAGAGAGAGAGGGCGAGAGAGAGAGAGAGAGAGAGGGAGAGAGAGAGAGAGAGAGAGATAACGAAAGAGAGAGAGAGAGAGTGAGAGAGGGGAAGAGAGAGAGAGAGAGAGAGAGAGAAGAGAGAGAGAGAGAGAGAGAGAGAGAGAGAAAAACGAGAGAAGAGAGAGAGAGAGAGAGAGAGAGAGAGAGAGAGAGAGAGAGAGAGAGAGAGAGAGAGAGAGAGAGAGAGAGAGAGAGAGAGAGAGAGAGAGAGAAAAAAAGAGAGAGAGAGAGAGAGGAGGGAAGGAAGAGGGAGGAGAGAGGAGGAGGGAGGAGGAGCAGGAGGAGGAGGGCCAGGACAGGATTCCTTAAGCACTGCTTGTTTCGCTTGAGGTGCCCCTGCGAAATGTGTTGTTTCGCTTCGGGCATCCTTGCAAACATGCTTGCTTCACTTGATATCCTTGAACAAACGCTTGATTCGCTTGAGGCATCTCGAAAGAATGCTTGGGGTCCAATTGGGGCCCTTCTCGGGTATTCCCTTGGCGTTTCCATGGTCGGGGGCCCATGCTCGAGGCTCCGGGCTCGAGATCTCAGCCCGAAGCCCAGTGGACCTCGAGAGCGTCGAGGTTCGAGGCTTGCCTCGGCGCTCGTCGCGTCCCCGTCCCGCCGCCGCCGCCTCCGCCGCCGCCGCCTTCGTCCCCCCTCCGTCCTGCTCCTGCTCCTGCTCCTGCTCCTGCCCCTCCCTCCTCCTCTTCCTCCTCCTCCTCCGCCTCCTGCTCCACCTCCTGCTGCCCCCCCCCCCCCCCCTCCCTCTCTCCCCCCCATCTCCCCTCTCACATCCCCGAGCAATTTCTTGTTTCGCTTGGGGCATCCTCGAGCAAATCTCCCGTTTTGCTTGAGACATCCTCGACAAATCTCTCGCTTTGCTTGAGACATCCTCGAGTATTTGCTTGTTTCGCTTGCGACGCCCTCGACGAGCCTCTCGCTTCGCTTGCGACATCCTCGAGCAATTCTTTGTTTCGCTTGAGACTCCCCCTCCTCCCTCCCCCCTCCGTCCTCGATCGACCCTCGGGTCGAGAGTCCAAGGTTCTCGGGCCAGGGATCCGACATCTTGTGATCTCGGATCAACGACGGCCCGAGGCTCTCGGAGCCTCGATCCGAAGATCGATCGAGGATCGAGCCTCGACGAAGGGATCCCAGACGAGGTGACCTTGAGACAGGGCTTCGATCTTCGATCGACTCTCGGGTCGAGAGTCCAAGGTTCTCGGGCCAGGGATCCGAGATCTTGTGATCTCGGGCCACCATTGCTCGAGGCTCTCGGAGCCTCGATCCGAAGATCGATCGAGGGTCGAGCCTCGACGGAGTTGCGCTCGATGTTGCGCTCGAGAGGGGGCCGACGAAGCCTCTCGGAAAACCTCTCGGAAAGCTCGAGGGAACGGGCCTTGATCGCCGCTCGCTCCTCGATGAGGCCTCGATGAAGCCTCGCGCTGGGCCTGCTCGGCTCAAACCTCCACCTCGATCTTCTCGAACTCTTGCTTGCCCGTCTTCTCGACCTTCATCTCCTCGTACTCGTTGTTGATATTGTTGTAGTTCGGGGAGCTAGTCTTGGTGCACACATCGAAGAACATCTTCTGGTACTCGAGCTTCTTCTCCTCGGTGTCCTCGTCGCGCTTGAGGCGCTTGGCGGCGGTGGACCTGTGCACGTCGAGCTCGAAAGCCTTCTTGGCCACCTTGCTAACTTGCCAGCGCCACGCCACGATGGCGTTCGCGGTGCAGATGCGCTCGCTTGCGTCACCCTCGAGGCAAAACCGCATGAACTCGTCGAAGTAGTCCTTGGCCTTCTTGGGCAGGATTGCTACCGACTCGAACTGCTCTTTGCCCTTCTCGGCGCTGGCCCTCGGCAAAACAGGCTTGAATTGCTTTTTCACTGGAAGCATCACCTCGCGCAGCGCTTGCAGATCTTGGGGGATCTCGCCGAGGACCTGCTTGACAACCTTGGTCGCGGCTCCCTCGGGCATCATCTCGGCCTTGTCGCCGAGGGGCGCGTCGTGCGTTTTGGCCTCGTCGAGCAACTCCGCTCGGAAGCTCGGCAGCATCTGGAACAACTTCTCGACGTTCGTGTCTCGGTCGTCGAAGCCGTCGAACATCTCGGTGCTCCCCATCGATGTGCGTCTTGTAAAAGATCGCACAGAGCAGCTCGCCGCGCCGCTTGTCCTTGCCGTGGAAGATACCCTCGTACTGGATGCCCTCGAGGCTCCCCGTCTTGAGGGCGCTCGCGAGGACGGCGTTCTTGATGTTCTTGTGCCGCAGCGCGGAGCCGCCTCGTCAGTAAAAGCTCGTCATCCTTGAAGCGTCGGTAGCCTCGCCGCTCGATTGGCACTGCCTCATCTCGGCGCAGCCTGCCTTCTCGGCGATGGACTCGAGTGTGTTGTTCTGCACCTCGATGGCCTCGTTCTGCTTCTCGAGCAGCTTGGGCATCTGCTCCAAAACCTTGTTGTTTTGCTTGAGCTGCTCGATGACTTGGCTGTCCTCCGCGAGCTGGGGGCTCGACGCCTTGGACGACGCCGTGGCTCGGGAAGCTGAAGCTCGAAAGCTTCGAAAGCTCGAAAGGCTCGGAAGCTCGAAAGCTCGAGCCAGAACGGTTGCGGGCGGGAGCAGGAGACTAGCCCGTTTCGCTGGATACATCCTCGAAAACGTGCTCGTTTCGCTTGAAACATCCTCGAACAAATCTCTCGTTTCGCTTGAGACATCCTCGACAAATCTTTCATCTCGCTGGAGACATCCTCGAGCAATTGCTTGTTTCGCTTGAGACACCCTCGAACACAATTTGTCGTTTCGCTTGAGACTTCCGCGGCAAATCTCTCCTTTCGCGTGGGAAATCCTCGAGTATATGCTTGTGTTGCTTGAGACATCCTTAAGGAACGTACTGTTTCGCTTGAGACGTCCATCAGTGTGCTTGTTTCGCTAGTGACATCCTCGAATGTATGCTTGTTTCGCTTGATACATCCTCGACAACGTGCTCGCTTCGCTGGATACATCATCGAAAACGTGCTCGTTTCGCTGGAGACATCCTCAGACAAATCTCTCGTTTCGTTTGAAACATCCTCGACTAAACTCTCATTTCGCTCGAGACATCCTCGAGTATATGCTTGTTTCGCTTGAGACATCCTCGACAAGTTTTCGCTTCGTTCGAGACATCCTCAAATAATTGTTGGTTCCGCTTGAGACATCCTTGAAATATTGATCGTTTGGTTTCACCTCCCAAAATTATTGGTTTCGCTTGAGACATCCTGAAAAAAAACGTGGTCGCTTCGCTTGATGTTGTTATATCAACATGAGAAGGAAGTAACCTCGATGGCGAACTTTTCCCGTGATAATGAAGTTCGGCCTCCGCGCCCCCGCGCCCCCGACCAAACTCTCATAGGTCGACGATAATCAACTCTAACTACTTAATTAAGGGGGGGTGCATTATTATCGTGGGCATGGGGTTACGGACACTACGGCGGCGACATTCGTGCTGGAGTGGGTGGCGGTCGTCGGGTTCGTCGTCGGGTTCGTCGTGCTGGATTGGGGCTGGGCGAAGGGCAGGGCGCGGGGCAGGGCGCGGGGCTGGGCGTCGGGAAAACAATGTCCCCGAGGAGTGCTCTGGAGAGGTGGGGGTGTCAGACGCGGCGGGGGTCGGGGCGGAGGTCAGGGTCGGCTCCGGGTGCCAGGCACAGTTTTCCCGAGGGGTGCTTTGGAGGGGTGGAGGTGTCAGACGCGGTGGGGGTTGGCGTGGAGATCCGGGTCGATTCCGGGCGCGGGGTTGTCAGGTGAGGGGTCCCAAGAAGAGTGGTCCCGAGGGGTGCTCTGGAGGTGCGAGAGTGTCAGGCGCAGTGAAGGTCGGGGTGGGGTCAGGATCGGTTCCGGGTGCGGAATTGCCGGGTGGGGGGTCCTAAGAATAGTGTCCGCGAGGGGTGCTCTGGAGGTGTGGGGTGTCAGTCGCGGGGGGGATTTGGGTTGTGGCCAGGGTCGGATCACGGCGCGGCACTGTCGGGCGGGGGGTCCCCGGAAAAGTACCCCCGAGTGATCTGGACGGGTGGCGGTGTCAGACACGGCGGGGGTCGGGGAGCGGTCAGGGTCGGTGCCGTGCACGGAATCGTCTGGTGGGGTTCCCGAGATCGGTGTGCCCGAAGGGGTGTTTTGGCGAAGAAGGGGTGTCAGATGCGGTGGGAGTCGGGGTGGGGGCAATAGGTCGGCCCCTCCAAATCATGGGTGCCGTCGTGTCCTGTTGTGTCTCGTGTTTGCTGCAACGCTGGGGCAAGAGTGCCCTGGGTTAGAGGCCATGATTCCCTCGGAAGAACGTTGTGTCCTCTCGCGCGCACGTTCGAGCCAAAGTAGACTGTACGCGTAAACTATCGGAGCGTTCCGCGCAAATGTCTTGGATCGGCGCCCCTGACGCGCTCCGCACGCCAACGACGGGGGACCAGCGCCGACCCAAGAAATCCTTAAGTACTTTCGAAGTGTGCGCTGCTGCATTTGTTCATCTAGTGGCCTTGAGCCCATCCCGCCACCTTGACTAGGTTGTGGGCCATCGGTCTTTTGGGATGTTCATTGGGATGTCTCGGGGGAGGCCTCTCGTTGGCTTTTTGGGAACCGTTTTCAAATTTCTTGGCGTGTATTCGGGGCCTTTTGGAGGGCTCTTGGCCGTCTTGGGGCGGTCCTGGGGGTCTCCTGGGCCATCTTGGAGCGTCGAAAGCTCGCAAAGTCGAGGACTCCAAAATCAAACAACACATAGATATAACATTTAATGATTTGGGCCTCTCGGGGTTTTCTTGGTGACGCTCTTGGGGCTTTCTTGGGCCGTCTTAGGACCATCCTGTGCCTTGGTGCGATCGTTCGGCGACTCGGAGCCCTCTTGGACTGTCTGGGGAGCCTCTTAGGGCCCTCCTGATTCGTTTTGGGCCCTCTGAGGCCCGAAGAAGTCACGCGAGAAGACGCGAAGACGTCCAGGGAACACGCGGAAATCCCCGAGAGATTTGGCAATTTGGGCTCCAGGCCCCTTCAAGACTCTTCAGGACTCTTCAGGAACGCTTTGGTGAGTAGGCAACGGACCTGAGGACACGCCCACTCCATGCCCAGCGACACGGTGGCGGACCTCTCTAGGATTTGATCGACAAAATCAGCACGAACCCGACAGCAAGCAAGCTACGAATCGAAGGTTCGTGCACAGTCAATATCAGGCGGAGGTCCCAGGCGAATTAGCTCGTTCTGCCGTTCCCTTCCCCATTACTGCTCCCGGCCGCGCGCTGTGGGCCCACAGACCTCGGTTAGCCTTCCCCTTCCCCGCACGATATTCTCAGCTCTGGCTGTGCCGGGCTCTGCCGGGCCTTTGGGCCCAACGGCGCCGCCCGCCCCACCAGGCAAACCACAGCCGCTCGCGCGCTCCTCAGGCTCGCGGCCAAACGCCCCCTTCTGGGTCGGTCGGTCGAAGCAAGACAGCCTCGCTGCTGGGAGCAGTGCTGCTTCCACTGCTAGGGGCAAGCAGAGGGCCGTTCCTCGCCTTTCATGGACTACACGTAAGAGTGACCTTTCGCCGGAGCGACCTTTGGTGCGACAATGGGGTCCCCCCGTTGCTGGACGCGAAGCGATAGCAGCGGCTTGCGCGCCCGGGTTTGGCCACCCCGCGTCCCCCGTCAAGTCGCGCACCAAAGGTCACTCTTGTCTTACGTGTAGCCGATTTCAACCGTGCGCCCCCTTCCCCAGATCTTTCGTGATCGGGCGCGCGGACCGCCTCACGAGGCCTTTGCCCACCGGCGCGTCCTCCCAGTTACCCCACGAACCCCCCTCGTCTGTTTGGAGCAATCTCTGACGAGGCGTTCGTTTTTCATTTTTCCGGGCTCTCGGGGGCGTGCCCCTGGCCCCCAGAGTTGTCCAACAAAACCGGCTCGGGGGGAATAGTTGGCGCTCCTGAGGTGGGGGGCGGTCGAGGGCCATATGGGGCCCGCGCTTCTGGGAAAAGATGAGACTTAGACGATGCTTGGGCGCGATTTGGCACGCCGCTCAGACGATGGCAGCGCGGCGCGGGCTACAGTCGGACCGAGGTACAAGATCGATTTCGGTTCGGAGAGGGTACCCTACTGTTCTTCGTGATTGTTGGATTTTGTTGTGCATTCTGGGGGAGGGTCCCCTCGAATGCTCTTCATGTTGGCCGACTGAGGGTCTCATGTTCTTGAAGGATGTTTTTCTGTCCTAGGTCCGACTGTACCCGCGTTCACGGCGGGCTATGCGTGATCGCGTAGCCTCCTGGGGAGGAAAGCGTGTCTTTGCGAGCTCCCCTTGAGCTGATGCTGAAGTGTTGCCTGCTCACACAAGGGTCCACGCTTTTCGTTCCTCGGAGGTGCCTTCGGATTGTTCTGGAGTGTCCTGGACTGGTCACGGACACATCCTCCAGGCCCGCCGACTACACATAAGATTGACCCTTTGCCAGACCGACCTTTGGTGTGGGCCCTTTGGGGGTCCTCGATCGCTGAAAGCGATGCGGCAGCAGTGGCTTGCGCGCTCTGGTTTGGCCCCTCCGCGCCCCCCCTGAAGCCGCCCACCAAAGGTCACTCTTGCTCAGGGTCACTCTTGCATGTAGTCGATCCGAACTTATCGTCATTTCTCTTCCTTCGTTCGGATGGTCGCCCCTGGCTGCGGGGGGCCCGCGGCCGACCGCCCGAGTGGGTTGTGGCTCTGCGAGGCGTCGGATGAGAGGTCTGATCCCTGATCCGACGCCTCGGTTGCATCAATCCTTGATCTGCCCACAGATCCTTGATCCTTGGTCTTATCCCTGATCCTGTGTCTGATCCCTGATCTGTCGCCTTGATCTCGATTCGGGGGTCTGGATTTGCGCCGCTGTGAATATGGTCGAGAGGGGGTGAACACCCAGGTTGTGTCTTGCAGTCCCGACGCCAATCTGGGGCCGCGGGCTGAAGAAACCACAAGGGATTGTTGGCACAAGGTTGGAGAACATCGTCCCCCAACAGCACCGTCCATCGCCGATCGGAGAGCCGCGATCGTGCACGGCTGAACGATCCACGCGGTCTCAGACGCCAAAGCGCAGATCGTCACGACTCGAACCCGCCGTATGGGTCTCCGCCGCCCTTCCCCACAGGAGCGCCCTTCCCTGCGGACGACCCGTTTTTGAAGGTCCCGTCGGCACGAAAACGGCCCCCAGAAACCGACAAAGGCAAACAAGTCTTCTCAAACCCAGCGACTCGAACCTCGCCCCCGGTCCTGCTGACCAGAACCAGTGCCAGGCCACCTGAGGACGGCGGCGAGCGAGGGGGAAATGACAAGCTAGGTGCGCGCGCGTCATATCTGACGTCCTACCCCTCCCTCCCATCCCTTGCCATGGCGCTGATTTTCTCTATCCGCGGACTAGTGGGTGGTGGTGCGCGTGCGTGCGTGCGTGCGTGCGTGCGTGGTTGTGGTGGTGCTGGTGCTGGTGCTGGTGCTGGTGCTGGTGCTGGTGCTGGTGCTGGTGCTGGTGCTGGTGCTGGTGCTGGTGCTGGTGCTGGTGCTGGTGCTGGTGCTGGTGCTGGTGCTGGTGCTGGTGCTGTGGTGCTGGTGGTGGTGGTGGTGGTGGTGGTGGTGGTGGTGGTGGTGGTGGTGGTGTGGTGGTGTGTGTGTGCGTGTGTGCGCGTGTGCTGTGGCATGCCACGGGAAATGACGCCAGCGCTGCAGCGGGAGCACGATTCGGAACGAGCGGGGCCCGAAAATGAGGCCGGCGCCTCGGCGAGAGCAGCATTTTGAAAAAAGTGCAGGCGAAAACCCAACTCCCGGGAATCCTGTGTGTAAAAAAGCAGGACGCGGGGGGGGTCGGCTACTTTCAGGCCGCCATCGGGGGAAGAGGGAGAGTAGTATTCATATTGAGTCACTGTGAAGGAGAAGGCCTTCTCAGAAGGCGGCGAGGACTTCTCAGAAGCCCTCGCGCCTTTGAGAGGTGGTCCTTGTCTTCGGGGAAGGCTCAATAAACTTCTCAGAAGGCTGGGGGACTTCCGAGCCTTCTGAGAATGCCCGACCCTTCTCACTTCCCCCCCTGGGCTGGCCGCCGACTCTCCGACTGCAGGCCCAGCTGCGCGAGGCGCTGCCGACCCTGCGGCCTGCCGCGCTGCCGGAGCCGCCAGAGCCGGCGCGGGGCCCGGGCCCCCGCAGCAGCATCTCCGACGAGGCCCCCGCCCCGCCTCCGTCGTCGCCGTCGTCGCTGTCGTCGTCGTCATCGTCGTCGTCGTCGACAATGTCGTCGGCGTCGGCGTCGTCGACGTCGGGTTGTCGTCAGCGTCGGCGTCGGCGTCGGCGTCGGCGTCGGCGTCGGCGTCGTCGTCGGCGTCGTCGTCGACATCGTAGCCGGCGTCGTCGTCGGCGTCAGCGTCGGCGTTGGCGTCGGCGTCGTCGTCGTCGGCGTCGTCGGCGGCGGCGTCGTCGTCGGTGTCGGTGTCGTCATCGTCGTCGTCGAAGACATCGTCGTCGTCGACGTCGTCGTCGGCGTTGGCGTCGTCGTCGGCGTCGTCGACGTCGTCGTCGGCGTCGGTCGTACGTCGTGCGTCGGCGTCGGCGTCGTCATCGTCGTCGTCGTCGGCGTCGGCGTCGTCGTCGGCGTCCGAGTCGTCGACATCGTCGTCGTCGGCGTCGGCGTTGGCGTCGGCGTCCGAGTCGTCGACGGCGTCGTCGTCGTCGGCGTCGGCGTCGGTGTCGTCGTCGTCGTCGTCGTCGTCGGCGTCGTCCTCGTCGACAAAGTCGTCGGCAAAGTCGGCGGCGTTGTTGTCGGCGTCGTCGACGGCGTCGGTGGCGTCGGCGTCGTCGTCAGCGTCGGCGTCGGCGTCGTCGTCGGCGTCGTCGGCGACATCGTCGTCGTCGGCATCGTCGTTGGCCTCGGCGTCGTCGTCGGAGTCGGCGTCGGCGTTGGCGTCGGCGTCGGCGTCGTCGTGGGCGTCGTCGTCGGCGTCGGCGTCGTCGACATCGTCGCCAGCGTTGTCGTCGGCCTCGGCGTCGTTGGCGTCGGCGTCGTCGTCGTCGGCGTCGTCGTCGGCGGCGTCGTCGTCGGTGTCGGCGTCGTCGTCGTCGTCGTAGACATCTTCGTCGGCGTCGTCGTTGGCGATGGCGTTGTCGTCGGCGTCGTCGACGCGGTTGTCGGCGTATACGTCGGCGTCGTCGGCGTCGGCGTCGGCGTCGGTGTCGGCCGGCGTCGCCGCCGCCTCGGCATGTGCGTCGGCGTCGTCATTGTCGGCGTTGTCGTCTTCTGCATCGGCGTCGGCGTCGGCGTCGTCGTCGTCGGCGTCGGCGTCGTCGGCGGCGGCGTCGGCATCGGCATCGGCGTCGACGTCGGCGTCGGCGTCGTCGTCGTGGGGGGCTTCGGCGTCGGCATCGTCGTCGTCATCGTCGTCGGCATCGGCGTCGTCGGCGTCGTCGTCAGCGTCGGCGTTGTCGTCAGCGTCGGCGTCGGCGTCGGCGTCGTCGTCGGCGTCGGCGTCGGCGTCGGCGTCGGCGTCGTCGGCGTCGGCGTCGGCGTCGGCGTCGAGTAGGAGGAGGGCGGAGGCAGAGGATGCAGAGGAGGAGGTGGAGGGGCGGCAACACAGGAGGAGGAGGAGAAGGGATTAGGCGGAGCAGGGTGCAGAAGAGAGCAAGGGGGAGGGAAGCAGGGGCACGAGGAGGAGAAGTTGTGGGGGAGGAAAGGGGGAGGGAAAAGGGGGGTAGGTTGGGACCGTCAACGGGAGGGGGGAGAGGGAAAGGGGACGCACAAGCGGAGGGAACGGAAGGGAGGAAGAGGGGCACGAAGATCAAGATGAGGAAGAGGAGGAGGAGGAGGAGAGACAGGGACATCATGACGAGGAGGAGAAAAGGAGAGAACGGATCGAGACGAAGGGGCGCGGGGACGCCCTGGAGGAGGGAGGAGAAGCATTGAGAAACGGAGGGGGGGACAACAAGGAGGTGTGCGACCCTCGTCCCTCCTCGTCCTCGGTTGCGCCGTCTACTCCCCCCTCGTTATCCCTCCTTTCTTGTTCCCCCATTGCCGGCCTCCTCCCTCGCCCTCTTCCCCCCTCCTCCCCCCCTTGCCCTCGCCTCCCTCGTCCTCAGTCGCCTCCTTCCTCTTCTCATCCCTCTTCTCCCTCCTTACCGATGCTACGGCGTCCGCGCCATGCTGTAGTGGGCACTGGCGGGCTCCCTGACGGAGCGCGCACGACTCCGGCGTTCGTTCGTTCGTTCTCACTTCTCTTCCCTCGCCTTATCCATTTCCCAGGAACAAAACAACGCCACAGACATCCTGCAACCTCCTCCCGCGCCAGAGGCAACGTCAGGCTGATCCAGCGCCGACCCAAGAAGTCCACGCAGCGAAGTTCAGGGCTCGGCTTCCTTCCCCACGAGTGGGGTCTGCCGCGGCGCGGCGCACACCGTTCACTGCGGCGCGGCGAGCGTATGGACACGTAGCGTCCGAGCGACTGGCTGCAGATCAGCAGGTTCCTGGCTCAAATCTGGGTGTGCCTTCTTCGAGGCGCAGGGTGGCCATGCCCGCGCCCGCGGCCCTTGGCATGACATGTGCCAGTTCTGCTCTCCCTCGCAGATGGTGCAACACTTGGGAGGTCAAATTCAGCATCAGCGGTGGTATATCCGTGGTCGAAAACTAACCTGATCCGACATCATGCCGTTTCAACCGCCCAGTTACATCCAGTCTGATTCAATCGGGCCTAATCAGTGACTCAACCTGGGCTGATCTGGCTCAGTGGCTCTTGAGGCAAGTTCAGCAGCCCGTCATCGTTCACACGAAGGCCTCCCAGGAGTTGCCTTCCAGCCTTGCCCTCCCAGGTCCCGCCTCCTCCGCACCCTCGCACGCCCAGGAGCACGCCAACGTGGTGCGCCTGGTGCAGGAGCGGGGGGCAGGCGGGGTCGCCAGTCACCCACCCTTAGCCTCCCTTCCACCCTGCCCCAGTGATCTCTGTGGAGCAGGAGACGGAGGGGGGGAGGAGCAGAAGTATGAGCGGTAGGGGTTGCGGGAGGAGGAGCAGGGCGGGATGAGTAGTCGTGGTGGGAGGAGGGATAGGAAGGATGACGAGGGGGGCGGAGGGATGACGAAGAGGTTTGGGGAGGGAGCAGGAGTGTGCATGGCCTGGAGTGAAGGAGGATGAATAGATGACGAGGAAGGGGATGGCGAGGAGTCGGAGGAGGAAGAATAAGGAGGGCGTTGAGGACTAGGACAATGAAAAGGATGAGGAATCAGAAGGGAGCGCGACGAGGTGGAGAGGAGGATTGAGGAGGGACTGGGACTGACCATACGGGGCAGACGTCCCCGTGCTTGGGCGGCAGACCTCTAACGGCAAGACTCCCTGCGTCAGGCGTAGCATCAACGATCCGAACCGCGCCCAACAAAGAAAGGCTCCCCGGGAGCCCTGCGCGGTCCTCAAGAATACGTAGATCTTCCCGCGCAACTTGGAGGAAAACATGTTTGCGTTCGCCTGGGTCCAAAGGGAGCTGCCAGAAAGCGTCGGATAAATCGAGGACCCCGAATTGCGGCGAAGTCTAATCCCTTACTCCGCCGCGCACCATATCCATCGCATCGCTGATCACGCGGGTGATCCTGGGGACCAGACTCCTCTCCGCCCTAGCGGACAAGCGGCTGAGCCCGCTCCTCTTGCAGTCCAGGATGACCCTTTTCTTCGTGACCGTGGCCCTCTTCTTCTCGAGTACGTGTAGCTGCGAGAAGTGGGGCTCTTCTCCGAGGAACTCGGCGGCGTCGGCCACGGAGTCGAAGCGCTTGACGCAGCCGCGCTGGCGGTATGACTCGCACTGCTCCACCGCCACGTCGTCTGCCTCCACCGACGAGTCGTTTCCGCACGCGGTCCAGTCCGTGGTCAGCAGCTCAGGGTCGCCCATGTCCAGCGCGTCGGCCACTTCCGGAATTATGTCTCTGGTCTCTGGGAGATTGCGGATTCCGGCCGGTGCGCCGGGGACCAACCACTTCTCCGGCTGGTCGTCTGGATCGCCGGCGGCTCGGCGCGACGCCGAGACCAGGCCGGCTTTGACCGTGGTGGAGATGTCACCATTGCACACCTTCGCGACATCGTCCGTGGCCAGCTTCTCCGCGAGCAGATTTGGGGCCTTGTCCACAATATCCGCGTCTACCGTCGCTCTCTCGCGGCCCAAGACGCCGACGATACTGTCCACGACCTCGTCGTCCTTCTCGAACCAATCGTAGAAGGCTCTCCTGATGGTGGCGCCGACGACCGTGATGCCCGGCACCTTCTCGATCGAGTTGCTGGGCCAGCGTAGGCCGCCAATGGCCTTGGCCTCCTCTTCGAACTTGATAGCTTCCGGACCCTGCTTGAGGTTCGCCTCCATGTAGACCGATGGGTGCGCCTCGTCGTGCGGGTCGCAAGGCCGGAGTGTCCGCGCGAGCCTGTTGCCCCAAGCGCCGGTCCTATGAAGCGATGGGCTCGCCTCCTGACTCGGCACTCCTGGGCATCCGCCCGCTTCCGCAGCGTGCTCTATGCGCTCTTTGTCGCCGGCGCTGCCAGAAGTGGGCGCCCGCTGATCTCTGCTGAGCGTGCGGTATCGGCCAGCCGGGGGCCGGGCCGAGAACGGATCCGCGGGGGGGGGGGGGGGGGGGGGGGGGGGAGGGGGGCCGTAAGGCGGCGGCTGTCCCACGGCGGAGGCACGGCAGATACCGCCCGCCCAGCGGCGTCGGTGCTTGGCGTTGGCAACGCTCCCGAGACGCGGTCAATTACCTCATGACCTGCGGGCGCGGCGCGCCGTTCTCCAATAGCTCTGTCGCGCGCAGCTCGGACCAGGAGCTCAGCCAACTCAATGTTCATCTCGCCAGGGTACCCCGCCGACCCCCCCGACATGAAGGGCGGCCCACCGTCGCCGCCAACTGCACGCAGTCCCTCGCGCCACTCTTCCGCGGGGACTGCAAGCCTCTTGCCTCTCAGCGGCGGGCGCGGCGGGTGGATCCATCTGCCCGTCGGCGGTTGTCCCCGCAATCTCTTCGGATGACCGCGCACCTTGTCGGAGACGCCTGGTGCCGGGAAGTGCAGGATGAGCGTAGGCTTCGTCGTGGGCACGCCCATGACGCACTGGTCCCATCTGGCCTTACCGATCCCCGGGTAGTCTCGGATAACATCGCGAAACTCGCCAAGATCGATCATCGACGCCGACTCGCAGTCCTCTTCGGGCCAGGGCGTCTCATACGCCCAGGCGGCCTTATGCTCCACCACCATTCTGCCATTCTGAGACCCTGCGCGGCCCTGACTGCCAACAGCGCGCCGAGCCTGACCTTCTCCGAGTTCGCGCCTTTCAGCCCAGCGAGGCCGTATCTGTCGGCTCCGTCCCTGCCACGAAGGGGCCCAGAGCCTCCCGGACGCAGACCGCCGGGCTTCTAATGGCGCGAATCCGAGTATGTCGAGCAAGGCGGGGCCCAGTGAGCGGCCGCGAACCTCCCATGCTCGATGTCCCAAAGCAGTCGATCCCAAATCAGCTGGTTCGCGATGTCTTGCCCTACGGGGTCGTTTTCGACATCCACGAATATCCCCTCAGCATGGCGGCGGCGAGTGTACTCCTGAATGCCGCCGACTTTGTCGCCTCTTCCTCCGAACACGAGTAGGATCACAGCTTTCTTTTGTGAAAGGCGGACAGACCTGGCCCGTTCGTCGCTGCACGGAAGTACCTTTGACTGCTCTGACATGGTCTTAGGCTCCAGCGCCTTACCTGTGTCGCCGGTAGCCGCCGAAGGAACTGCCGCCGGCGCAGCGCTGAGCGAGACATTATCCGGGGGCTCGCTCCCCCCCCCCCCCCCACGGCAAATGTTCAGTACTGCCAGCGGCCCCTGCCGCCGCCCTTGGAGCTCTTCCCGCGGCCCTTGCCTTTGCTGCGCTGCGGGGGAAGTATCGCCCGGTCGTTCTGGCAAGCGTTGGCTCCGTGGTACGGGCTCAGACACTTCGCGCACTGGTGGACTTTGTTCGGGTCTCTCGGGCAGCTGGGGCCGTTGCCGCTGCTGACGCACTCGCCTCGGTTGAATGCCACGCGTAGGGTGCGCCCCGACTGATTCGCCACCAAATTGCCGTCCCCGTCGGCGGTGTGAAACCGAGCGCTCCGCGGCCGCTTTCGAGTTGTCGTCGCCTGGTTCCTGCTTCTGCTCCGTCGCCGTGGCTCCTAAAGAGGCGCTGGCAGAGCCGTCGCGTCGGTGCTCGACACAAGACTGCCACGGGGCGCAACTTACGCGTCGCCGTCGAGCACCCTGTCAAGCGAGGCGGTGCGAGTGATAAACAACAAACACTTCTCGACGACCTCGCGCTGCCAGAATTCATGAAATGATACCGCCTGCTGCCGCATGTACTCCCACGGCCGTGCGACGTCGAAGCCGGAGTCTCTTGGCGGTATCGGCGTCCCTGTCGTGCAATTCCAAAGCTCTTCTGCGTAGCGCCTGCAAGTGCTCCATTCGGCACCGGACGTCCGCCCGGTATATGGCCGGCCAACAACTGCTGCGGTACCGGAACGCATCTCGCCCCAGCTCGTTGCTGCATGCCTGCAATCTCGCCGGGGGCACGGCATCCAGCATGATCAAAGCCATGGCCAGGACCCTGTACGAGCGAATCCACTATTGAATGGTACTCGGCCCATAGATTTCGCAGCGCTCGAGTGCGCCGCTGCCGGTGATCGTGCGGCCGCTGAGCTTCAGCCTCTTGCGAAGCCTGATGCTGCGCGGGCTGAATATGCTGAAGTCCGCGAAAGGTGGCGCTGACATCCGAAGTAGATTGGACAGCGCGCTGAATTGTCCCAGCGACGAGTCCGGTCATCAAGGGGAACTCCTGGCATGAACACGCGTGTAAACCACAGCAATTTCCACAGCAGCCGTCGGCGAGTCAAGCCCGTGCAACTTAGCGACCTCCTGGTCCTGCAGCCGAGGGGGCGAGGAGGCCATACGAAGCAGAAGCAGCGGCAGTGGGGCAGGGCGGAAGGATGGCCCGTCCGGGGCCGCCAGGGGCGGGGGCAGCTGCCTCCTCGAGGGCGAGAGACGGCAGCCTTGCAGTCCATGATGCAGCCTGCGCTGCTGGGGTTGGGCAGCAGTGCCGTCTGGATGACGCGGCAGCATAGGATGTTGCCCGGGCGGCGGGATGAGAGAGGGTTGCTGCCAATTCCTCCTCCTTCTACTCCTCCTCCTCCTCCTCCTCCTCCTCCTCCTCCTCCTCTCCTCTACCTCTACCTCTACCTCTACCTCTACCTCTGCCGCCTCCTCCTGGGCGCGGCAGCGCCGGCTGGGGCGCCGGGAGCGGGAGTCTGCGCTTCCTCCTCTTCCTCCCTCTGGCTCCGCCTTCTCCGGGCGGCAGCAGCGGCGCAGCGACACCGACGAAGGCGACGTCGGGGAAGGCAGCCTCGCCGGCCTCCTCCTGCGCGGCGCGGCGCTCGGACCCGACGCGACGCCGATCCGAGCCTGCAGTCTGCGAGGGAAGATGCCCTACGCAGCCTGGACCCCTGGGTCCGCAACCCAGACAGAGGCCGAGGGCCCCAGACGTAGGCCATCCATACCCTCACCCCTCCTGACCCGATTAGACATAGAAGCACCACAGGACTTACAGAAGAGCACAGCATCCCCCGCCTGGACCTCAACACCTCCGTCGACCTGGACCTCAACACCTCCGTCGATACTGAGGAGGTCCGCCTGCACAACACTATGGCATTTAGTTCCCAAGGAGTTCCCGAGGCCTGGACGACACACTCATCGGGTGGCGGTTGGGGGGGAGGTGGTGACTGTGGAGGGTCTACAGCACCGCCTGGCAAGCGGACCCCCTCCACACTCTCAGAAGGCCTCACCCCCGCCTCCAAACCAACCTCGCGAGGGTCGTTCCAGTCCCCTGGGTCACGCTCTAAGTTGACATCCGAGGTCCCAACAACACCCTGAGAGCTCACGAAACCCGAGTCCGCAAACACTTGCTGGGCCCTCGCGTACCATCTTGTGGCTTCAGCTGCCATTCTCTCAAGACCCTGGATCAACAAACCTTGCTGCAGCGGGGTCTGCCACAGCTCGACTCCTAACTCAGCATATCTGTCGGCAACTGCATTGCCACGGGTCATCCGAGTCTGATGGTCCGAGCTCGAGTTGGTTTCTGATTGGTGACATTTCACCTCAGGGACAGAAGCACGATGACCCACACCATTCTCCCCCACCAGTCCCGCTAGAAATGCTGTCTGGCTTGCGCAGTAGAAAGAGAAGCCCCAGGGTCCCGAGCACACGAGACGGAAGCGGCGCAGTCTGAATGCATACGCAGGGGATTGTCAGGGTCCCGTTCGCAGAGGGTAGCTAAGAAAGGATGGCCATGTTCTTCCCGTCGCTCGCCAGCTGCAGTGTAGCAAGGTACAGGGGCATTATCCCATCGCAAGATCCAACGACAGTGTTTGCCGGGTGCATCTGAACAATCGATAGCCCGCATGGCTGACGCTTCACATCGCGGCGTAATAGGCCGAGCCATCTACGAACACATCTTCCGAGAAACGCCACTCAGCAGGCACTCCCTCCCACCAAACTTTGACGCCAGGCTCGGTTTTGAGGAAGCACCAGCGGGGAGGAGTGGTGGAGGCATCTGCAGAACAAGTCTACTGGGCCTCGCTTCTGCTGTGGACCTTGTCAGCAGGTTCCCTGAGAAAGCAGGGCGCTCCTCGCTACGTGTGCTAAAGACAGGGTCACTTACAGAACCTGTGGAACAAGGCCTCCCTTTCCCCACATCGCGGGCACCTGTCGTCTTGACTTTTCTCGTGCGCATGAAGTCTGGCTTGAGTCCTAAACGAGCATCCAACCAGGCACCTAATGATAGCTTCGTGATGCTGGCTCCAGGTTTCACGACTCGCCTTACTGAGCAACCACTCGAGAGGACCCCAGACTGGCTAACCCGCGCACATGTCACACCGCTGAGACTAACGACGTCCGAGGCAGTTGACGCTGCTCCACGCACAAAGGTAGCGCATAAAACCAGCACTGAAATCTAGCGCCGAGTGCAATTGTCCAACGCCAACCCAAAAGCCGAAGTCATCGAGACTCCGATCCTAGCCATTGTCAGAAGAATCGCCTGCGCGGGGTCCGCACACTGGGCCCAAGGCCTGGGCCTCGAGAGCAACACCTGGCCGCCTTCAAGACCGCAGGCACTGGGCCGTGCCCAGGCAGGTGCGAGACAGTGGCTAGGACCCATTGTTTCACGGTTTCGGCCTCAGTCTGGGCGTCCAGGGGCCTTGCATCCGTACCGCGCATCTTGTCGTGATCTGTTCGCGCTGTACCCTTGGCGCCTGCGGCCTGGTGAGGCCAGCATGACCGCCCTGTGTGTGCGTCTGGGCGCAATCCGAAGCTTTCCCGATGGAGTCTGTGAGCGGCAGACTCGCGCCACGTCGACGCGGCAGCGACGCCAACGCGGGCGCTCGGGGTTGACAGGTCACCAGCGCCCTGAACTTGGGCTTGGAGGATCCTTGTTCTTGGGTAGCAGGGGTCGCTGGAGACTGGAACATCTACGTGGTGCCAGGAGCCAACGTGCGCGTGGACACGGCAGGAAACAGCCGTAGGCGGATGGTTGGCGTCATCCTCAGGATGCTATCGAGGGCGGCTTTCTCTACCAGCTGAACTTCGCCAGGCGCTGGCGGCGGCCCCCTCGTGCGCGTCGGCTGCTGGCTTCAAGTGCGTCGTCGTCCTCAGCGATGGCCTCGTCGTCGTTTTCGTCATCCTCATTCGCGTCCCCATCGGTGTCGCCTCTGTCTAGGATCGCCGCATCCGTAACGTCAAATAAACCGAACAAGAGGCCATGCGGTTGGATCACCAGGTTTGATTGGCGGCTCGCGATTGTTCGGGGTTGTGTTCCGCGTTCTTCGCCTCCCAGAGCACCTGGTATTCCTTGTTCCATTCTTACTCCACTCCATCCTCGTCGTCCTTTTCCTCCTCCTGCTAGTTATCGTCCTCCTGAACCTACTCCTCCCATTCTTTGTGTTCCTCCTTCTCCTCGTCATCCTGTTCACCATCACGCCTCCCCTTCCTCCTTCCTCTATCCCTCTCTCCACCCTGCTCTTCCTTCCGCACAGACGAGCCTGCGGAATACCCGTGAGTTCAGGAACAAAAACGTTAGCTCCCAATTTCGCGCCGCTCGGACCTCGCCTGTGGATCCCTGGAGGCGCTGGGACCGCCAGAACCGCTGGGACTCAGGGGACCTGGAAGACCCCTCGACGGACAGAACTGAATGGGGTCGATAGGACCGCTTGGACCCGCAGGCCCGCTGGGACCCCCCAGACCTTTGCAACCCCCCGACCCGCTGGGACCGTTCGGACTCGTTGGACCGCTGAGGCCCCTGTGGCTGCTGACCGTTGGACGCCTGGACCGCTGGGCCGCCAGCATCCCTGGACCGTCGGACCACTTGGGGCGGGCCGGGGCAGTGCCGACCGCGGGCGGTCAGTCTCTGAACGGGCAAGGCGGGGGTGGGCCCGACGGCAGGCAGGCGAGCGGACTGAACCCCTGGAAAGTTGGACCCCCGGGATCGCTGGGCCCCCCGAGCTGCTGGGACTCCTGAAGCTCTGGGCCACCTGGGACCGCCGCCAAGCCGCAAGGCCGCTAGGGGACCTGATGCGCGTTGATCCATATTGATGTCAGTGGTGTGAGTGCATGACTTATGGTACGATCTCGAGGCCCAAATCCATGCATTGACTGCACATGCTGATCTCTGCTATTGGAGTGTGTGCACGATGGCTGTATGAGCACATGATTTCAAAGCGCGTGGTTGCCAGATGCTGTCCCTCCATGTTGTTGATCGTCTTCCATGAATGTTGATGCTGGCTCAATTTTCTTGTTGATGTCGATGGCGTAAGTTCTTGTTCTATAGGGTATATGCTATCATTGGACGTTGTAGGTGAAGTGTGCGTGTGTGAGTGTGTGTGCGTGCGCATGGGTCGCAATGCGGTTGGCGCTTGTGTTTAATAGTAATATGCAGTTGCGCGTGCTAAATGTGTGTGGGTAGCTACAGCTATTGGACTAGGTGGCGTGTGAGGGCTAGGGCAACAAGTTGTTAACCTCGGCAACGTCGTATGGATATGATTTGGGTGTTGCAATTGCTAGCGCATGCGTGCATGTCATGGGTTCGTATGTCGTTCTTGTATCCGCATTCTGCTCAAACAGGTTCGGTCTTGCTCGTTCTCTCTTCTCTCCCTTCTGTTCCTGCATCCAGGTCGGCTCAGGCGACATCGCGCGCAAACCAGTCTGGAGGCTTCCGCTTTCAGCGTGGCCGCCATAGCAGCCAGCATGCCGACGATCCCCGAAGTCCGTCTCGCCATCACTACGATGACGAGCAAACGCCGCTTGTATCCGACCACATAGGGCAAGTGGCTTAAGGCGGACTTGGAAAACAAGTCGTCCGCCGAGCTGGCCGCGTCCTTCACAGCAGCCTCGCGCGAGACTCGCAACTGGCCGCATTACGGCATGCAGGAGCTCTGCCATACTTTGTTCCGCTTCGCTCCCTCCCCGTGCATTCGTCTCCACAGGCGTACACGTTGCCGCTCTTGGCGTGCTGGTGGGCGAACTCCAAGCTCACTAGTCCGTTTCGTCACAGTCACACGGGGAAGAGAAGTCGGCGGTGCGAACGCGAGCCTCGGTAAAGCAAGCAGCCGACGAGGTTGTCGAGTCGCTGACGATTTTGGCGAACAACAATATTGGGCCTCTGGTCTTTCTTGTGTGTCAAATGTGAGTTTGGGAAGCACCTGGCGAACCAGCTCCTGGAGTGGACTTCCGCTGCGCTTGACCTGGCAGCGCTTGCAGCGGGCGCCATTGCGCCCAACGCGCAGCCCGCTCCGAAAGAGCTTCGGATGGCAGCCAGGGAAATCACCGTGTCACCGTGGAGGAGGCACGGAAGGCGTTCAGGGCCTACTTCGTGGAGGTCTTGGCGCCGACCAGGGGCACTAGGCCCGAGGTTGAATTGACCTTGGGCGCAGGCGAGACTTTCGCGGATTGGGCCGCAGCACACGCAGAGCCAACCGCCGAGGAGGCGGAGCAGCCGCCCCGCCGCCAGCGCCATGAGCGCCCCGCTGCGGAGGCGGAGCCCGACGCGTAAACGCGCCTGCCGCATGGATGGGTGAGTTTCGCATTTGTTGTGCATAATGCGTGCTGGGAGCGTTTTTCCTACATTGCATGATTCTCGCGTTGCATGCATGCGCCATTGCTTCCGGGTGCCTGCAGCGCTTTCGCCGCCGCCTTTGTGGCCCTGTCCTCACTTCGGGTTTGCATGCAGCTGTTTCGTCGGGCATTATGCATGACCCCTTCTCCCCCATCGTGCCCGACGATCAACCAGGTGGCAGCCCAGCGGAAGAAGACGCGAAAGCCTGCGGAAGTAGATGGTCACCACAGCGGGTAACGATAGCCTTCCGGGTGGCCACTACACGTGGGAGGTTGGGTTCACCAAGATGGGCGTCGGCCTAGCAGAGGGAGCAGCGGCCCCTTCAGAATGGGCCCCAGTTCTCGACTGTGCAAGGTCTGCCTTGCTTTCGCATTCCCTCTCTGCATCCCTTGATGCGCGCGCCCTCTCGACCTGCGCCCCGGCTTTTCGCGGCGCCCCGCCCCCGACAGCTTTCGGGAAGCAACTCCGCGGACAGATCTGGGTGGCAACCCAGCGGAATGCAAAGCGGAAGCCTCCTTGGCGAATCTGATTCAGGCGCTGACCGGTGCGCGCCGAGAGCTCGGGACAGACGGTCCTGCGCAGACGAGGGGCCCTTCGGGAGGGGCTCGCCCGCTCTGCTCTGCCCTCTGCGTGCGGGCCCCTGGCCCGGCGCCGTCGCGCACGTCGACCCGTTGCCCGAGAGCACGCGAGGCAAATGTTGCGGGCGAAGTCGGCGGCGGCCCAGCGGGAGGCAAGGGACGAGGTGGAGGTGAAGGACTGGGAGGAGGAGGCCGAGGGCGAAGAGCCGCCGCGCCCAGGCAGTGGACAGGCCAGCTGCGGGAGGCGGCTCCCTCGCGGCGCCCGACGCCCGCCGCCTTGTTCTGGAACCTTCTGGCTGGGGGCGTGCAGTGCGGTAAGTTCGCGCCGCGTGGATGCGGTGGCGGCCCCAGCGCGGGCGTTTCATGTAGAACGCCGCCAGGGGCCCAGGAAGGGCCGATGTCGGACGCTGTGCGGTATCGGAAAGCTGCGATCGTTCGAGGTTGAACGATCCACGGGGTGTCAGAGACGAGACCAACGCCAACGTCATAGCGACGCGAACTTGCCGTAATCAACCAGCCTCAGTAACAGTGAATGTGTCAAGAGTCGTGGCACCGCGCCTGGTCTCTGGGTCAGGAGCCTCGGGGGTGCATATGAGGGTCTCTTGGGATTCCCTGGGGAGGCCTCTTCGGGGGCTCTTTGGGCATCTGGTCGGCTTTGGGTGGCCTCTCGGGGGCCTCCTTGGGTGCCTCTTGGAAGCCTTTTGGTGGGTGCTCTGGGGGTCACTGGGGAGCTCTTGGGGCCATCTCGGCGGGAAAGACTCGACATGTCAGTTCGTAATTGCCTCTCTGGGGGCCCTCCTGGGCCGTCTTGGGGGTCCGTGGGGCCGCTTATACAGGGCAGTCTCTCCCTTCTCCCTCCACTGAGTGTTTCCCTCCTCCTGAGGGGGTGCTGAGCTGCGTATCAATGCGCCACGTGTTGCGTGTTGCGTACCAAGGCAGCTCACGCCCTTGCCCTTCGCCCCTGGTCTGTTCTGTACTGCTGCGGGGTGGGCCACGGGGGGGGATGCGCGGTCCTGAGTTTGTTCCGCAGCTAAGTATGCGAGACCTTTCTTTCTCTCCCTCCTGCCCTTCGCTCCCGCCCCCTCCTCCAATTTTCAGCGGCACTGAGCTGCTGCGCCAAATGCCGTTTGCTGACGTGGTCCACCCCCTCCTCCCAGCGTGGCCCACCAGGGACGGCGACGGCAACGACGACGACGGCAACGACGACGCCGACGACGACGACGACGATGACGCCGACGCCGACGCCGACGCCGACGCCGACGACGACGACGACGACGACGACGACGACGACGACGACGACGACTGCGGTGGCGGCGGCGACGGTGGCGGCGGCGGCGGCGGGTGCGACGACGGTGGCGGCGGCGGCGGCGACGACGGTGGTGGTGGAACGACGTGGACGGCGACGACGTGGACGGCGACGACGCCGTGACTGTCGACGGTGATGAGCGCTGCCTTCGAGAACAACGGCGAGCTATCGGGGACGATGACAACCCAGCTTGCTCCGGTCCGCCCCAGAGAGCGGGCTCGCACCGAGGCACCCTGGGAGCTCATGCGGCGCCTGTTCGCCGACAACCCAGCTCCCTTCTCGGCGCCTCGGGGGGGCGCCAAATGCTAGGCCTCCTAGATGGGGTCGGAGCAGATGAGGTCGGAGGATCGCGCCGCATCGCCAATGCATCGCCGAGTCATCGCCGATGCGGCTCGATGTGGAGCCCGATCTTCTCCGCGCCGCTGTCGCCGATGCATCGCCGATGCAGCGGCGATGCGGTGCAATCCTTGGATCCCATCTACTCGGACCCCATCAGGAGGCCTCCAAGATGTGCACGGCACGGGCGGGCGGCGCCCTTTGATTCCGAGGGCGACGCCTCGAGGCGCAGTCTTTTGCTGCCCCGTCAGGGCCTCGGGGAGGGTGTCCCCGCGCGGCCGCGGTCGGACGCGGCCTGCAAATCTGGACCCGGCTGACTCTCTGAGCGAGGATGGCCTTCGGCAAGTCCGCGCCGCATCGGCGCCGAGGGCGACGCCCCGAGGTCATCCGAGGTGCAGTGTTGCTGCCCCCTCTGGGCTTCGGAGGGTGAGGGGTCCCGCGACCGCGGCCGGACGCAGTCTGAAGAACGGGACCGCTCTGAGCGAACATGGTTCTCGGTGAGTTCGCGCTGCGGCGACGCCAGCGTCGGCGGTCAGGGGCGATCACCCTCCGTGTCCGCAGAACCCGGCACTAAGTCGGCTACGTGCAAGAGTGGCCGTTCGCCAGAGTGGGTTTGGTGCAGGCCCTGGGGTCCCCCGACGCGGTGCGACAGCAGCGGCGTGCGTGCTCGGGTTTGGTTTCCCGTGTGCCTGCAAGGCCGCCTGGGCTCTTGCGCGTGGGCGACCACGGCGTGCAGGCCATGAAGAAGAGAGAGCCGCCAGGGCCTGGGGGCCTTGTGGAACACAACGGTTCGGCGAGGGGCCCACGCCGTCGAGGCATGGGCCTCCCGCCGTATCTCCCCACCTGCGCGTGGCTTGGCTGGGCCCAACACCGTGGCGCAGGGCCGGCAGAGAGGCCCCTGGACGCCCACCCCTTCGGGAGCAACGCTGGGGTGGGTGGGCCTACGGTCAGGAGCGGGGTCGGCGTGTCGCTCCGCCGGTTCGGGCCCACCACGCTTCGGCGCGGCACGGCATCCACGGCGCGGTGCCCAGGCTTCCAAGTCCCGAGCTTTCCCGAGCCTCACGCCCTGCGGCGCGGAGCGGCACGCTATCCGCTTGCAGGGTACAGCGTGGCGTACTGCCGGGACCGCCGCCACGGCACGCTCAGCAGACAACTTCCTGGCCGCTGGGGGGGACGCATCGACCGCCAATCGCCCATTGATCGCCGATAGAGGCCTGCTAGCCCACGGCGTCGAGGCAGGGGCCTGCCGCATCCTGGATCTTGCACCCTCCCTGACCGGGCCCAACCCTGGCGAAGGATCGGCGGAGACGCCTTTGGACGCCGACCCCTGGGCCACCCGCATGGGCGCGAAGGTGTGGTCGGTTCGTGTCGTGCCGACGCGGCAGCGACCCCGCTGCGGGCGTTCAAGGTTGAGCGCCGCCAGGAGCCCAGAAACGGCCGATACTGAACGATCTTCGCTAACTATCGAAAAGCTTCCGATCGTTCCAGGCTGAACGATTCGCGCGGTGTCAGAGACCAACGTCGGGTACGTCACGGCACGAACCTGCCCTAGCCGCGCTCCGCGATTCGCAGGGCTGGCCAACCCTTCTCGGGGTTGTTCTACGTGGCCGCAGCGCGAGGGCGCGACTACGACGGCGCCTCGCGCGGCGCGAGGTGCGAGGTCAGGCATCCGAGCATCCTGGGCCACGGACTGGCCCGGCCAGGACCACTTGTGCTTCTCCGGGTCGTGACCTTCGGAGGCCTCCAAGGGGGCGGTCAGGACCAGGGGTGCATGGACCATTCAGAACATTCATATTGCACAGGCCACGACCACTTCAAGATGTCATGGTCCCCTCTCACCTTCATCTTCTTCTTCGTCTTATTTGTTTCATTATTAATATCCGTTTTCTTCTTCTTCTTCTTTCAGTATGTGCGGACGATTTGTGTGCAACGTACCGTTTTTGCCCTTCCGAGGCGTCGTCAATCCTCGACCGAGGGCCCTCAAGGCGAAATTCTACCGTTTTGCAGTGGAGCGTGGCCTGAATGGGAGTCCAGACATGGTACGGTGCATGTGCGCCGTTTTCGTACAACACGTCCCCTGGCCCCCGCTCTTCACGTACATGCCGTGGGCCATGACGCTGGCCCCCCTCTCCCCGCGAGGCTTTTCTGCACGCGCCGGACGAGCGGCTGGCGCTCTGCTCCTCGTCGCCCGAGTCCCTGCTGTCGGTCCGTGGGGGCGTGGCGACCACCTCGCCCATCAAGGTCAGGGGCAGCCGTGATGGGGAGGACACGGTCGGGAACTTCGGCTTACCGTGTCGCGCCGCCAGTTCTTGTCCACCGCGCTGCGGCGTCAAAGTCCAGAGCTTTCCCGAGCCTCGCGTCCTACCTAGCGGAGCGACGCAATGTCCGCCTGCAGGGCACAGCGTGTCGTCGGGGCCGCCACCGCGACACGCTAAGCCAAGGTTCCAGACCGCACAAGCTCAGGGGAGAGCGCATCGGCCCCTCATCGCCCGTTCCTCGCCCATAATTAGGGTCCTGATGGCCCGCCCCGACCGGGCACACGCAGCTTCGCTCTCGGGGGCCAGTCGCCGATCTGGGTCGACGCTGCCTCCCCTGAGCCCCGAGCCAGTCCCCCCCGCCTATGGTTTCCCCTCGCGAGGGCACCTGCCCGCGCGGCGGGGACGCCGCCGAGGATCCGAACGAGGGGGCCGGAGGCTTGAGGAGCGAGGTCTGAGGATTGAGGCTGAGGTGTGTGGGGAGAGGCTGGGGATCGAGGGAGGGGGAGGGTCGAGGTTTGAGGATCGAGGTTTGCAGCTCGAGGGTTCGCACAGAGCGCGGAGGGATGCATGGAGGATGTCTTTTCAGCCTGGCGTTTATAGCAACATTTCGGCCTCTTAGGACGTTTTCGAGCCACGGGGCCATACCGAAGAAGAATCCGGGAATTCTCTGGGGCCGAAGATTGCAAGTAGACATCGACGGATGTTTTGGATCGAAGTGGCAATTTTTGTAAGTTTGGATTGCCTCCCGTCGTCCCCCGTTGTATCGCGTTGCCTCCCACTGTCTCCAGTTGGCGACTGTTATCGTCCATTGTCTCAGGTTTTTCCACTATCCCGTTCCCCGGGCCTCTCTATCCCCATCCCAACATGTCTTCATTCCCCGATATAGTACTTGTCTAAGGGGGCACGTCTGCCGTTGCCCAAACATTCCTCGGGTTCCTCGGATTCCCCGCCCCCCGGTGCCCCCTAGTGTTCCCCAATTAGGAAGTAGGCTTGCCTAAGGGGTTCTTACTTGGCTAAAGGTTGGTGCCTCGGGAGGCTACCTTGCCCGTTCCTCGGAGGTTCCCCAGGTGTCTCGGGTTCTCCGGTTTCCTCGGGCTCTCGGGTTCTCTAGGTTTCTCGGGTTCCCCGGGTTCCTTGGGTTCCTCGGGTTCCCTGTGTTCCTCGGGTTCCTTGGGTTCCTCGGGTTTCTCGAGTTCCCTGGGATCTTTGGGTTCCCCGGTATCTTCGGCAATGCCAAACCATGCCACGCAATGCAAAGGAATGCCAAGCAATGCCATGCCATGCCAAGCAATGCCAAGCGATGCGCCCAGCGATGCGTCCATGCAATTGCTTTTCCCCTATTTGGGGTCACGCCAGGTTCATCTAATCTTCGGGTCCTTGTCCTTACCACTATACATGCCTATATTTGTTTCCTCAGTCCCACAGCAATGGCCCATCTTTCTAGCAATCGCACCCCAATCAGAAGTAGGAGTAGTTGTCGCATTCGCATTCGTGTTCAATGCCGTTCGTACACGTGTACGGATGGACATATGTCAGCCAACGTGGACCCCAAACTGTGTGTTTCTAGCAGTCTGCGTGGTGCAGTTAATGTGGTGCTGATGATTTAAGCAAACGAGTTGACACATCCCGTGCTCTTGCAAATATTCCACCCACCCACCCGCAACTTGGTTTGCGAAAGCCATAAAGTAGCGATTGCGATGCATGCTCGGCGTTGGCTGGTGCGTCTCTGCGGCCGCGCCAACCCAAGCACGCGCGCGCAGCGGCAAGCTGGTTTGGCGCGACCGACGCGGCTGCGGTGGCGCTGATCGTTCGGCACGTACCAGCGGGTACTTCATCATTGCGAGTCGGCGACTTGGGCGGGCGCGGCATCATGGCAACGTCGACAACTGTAGACGTTGCGGGCGAGCCTCCAACGACTTCGGCGACGACAACGACGACGACGACAACACCGACGACGACGACGCCGACGCTGACGACGACGACGAAGACGATGACAACGCCGACGACGACGCCGCCGCCGCCGACGACGACGACGACGACGACGGCGACGACGAAGACGACGACGACGACGACGACGACGTCGCCAACGAAGACGACGACGACGACGACGAGGGAGGAGGGAGGACGACGACGGCGACGACGACAACGACGAGGGAGGAGGGAGGACGACGACGGCGACGACGACGGCGACGAAATAGGAGGGACAACGACGATACGCCGACGAAGACGACGAGAGATGAAGGACGACCACGGCGACAACGACGACGGAAACGACGACGACGCAAAGACGACGACGACGACGAGGAAAGACAGAGGACAATGGCGACGACGACGACGACGAGGGAGGAGGGAGGACGGCGACGACGACGACGACGCAAGAGCGCGCTTAGCTACGCTACGCCGTGCGTGACCACGTCCCACGCTCGTGCAAACGTCCCACCCACCCACCCGCAACTTGGCTGGCAAAACTTCATCATGCATCGATGACGATGGCGAAGAGGATGTCGACCCATGTGGCTGCGATTGCGATGACTGCCTGGCACTGGCTGGCGCATCGCTGCGGCCGCGCTGGCGCGCGCGAGCTCGCGCGCGGAGCGGCTTGCCAATACGGCAAGACCGGCACGGCCGCTGCGTCGCGCTCGCTGGGGACATCCCAGCGCGTCCCACAAGCCGTGCTGGCGCGCGGGAGTTCAGTGCAAGTCGGTGATTCGGGCGGGCGCAGGATCATTGCGACGTCGGCAACCGCGGACACGATGCTATAGTAGCGATGCTGGGAACGATGATGACGATGACGACGGCGAAGCCAATGCCGGCGCCGATGCTGGTCACGCCGATGGCGATGATGGTGTCCACGTGTTGGTGATGATGGTTTTCCCGAATTCGGCTTACCAAGCGGGTTCTTACTTAGTTCAAGGTTGGTGCCTCGGGAGGCTACTTCGCTTGTTCCTCGGAGATTCCCCGGGTTCCTCGGGTTCCTCTGGTTCTCTTGGTTCCTCGGGTTCTCTAGGTTTCTCGGGTTCCCCGGGTTCGTTGGGTTCCTCGGTTTCCTCGGGTTCTTCGGATTCCTCGGGTTCCCCGGGTTCCTCGGGTTCCCGTGTTCCTCGGGGTCCTTTGGATTCTCGGGTTTCCCAGGTTCGTCGGTTTCTTCGGGTTCCTTGAGTTTTTGGGGTTCTTCGGGTTCCTCGGGTTCCCTGGGTTCCGTTGGTTCCCTGGGCCCCTACGCAACGTCATGCAATGTCAAGCATTGCCAGGCAATGTCAAGCAGTGCTCAGCAATGCCAAGCAACGCCAGGTAACGCCAGGCAGTGCCAAGGCCAAACGATGCCAAGCAATGCCAAACACTGCAGGCCCATGCCAAGCAATACCGAACGATGCGCCAAGGTTTCCCCTAATTGGGGTCGCGCCGCGTTCATTGTGTTTCGCTGGATTCCGCAAGAGCACTCAGAACTGGTTGAAAGCATGCGCTGCAAAGCTGTCGCGGTCTATTTGTTCTTGGGAACTTGAAGTTGGAATGTTTGCGACCCGTGAGGTTGTTGATGGGAACCGACATGCACGCGCGACGCGGCGCGCGTTTGCGCAGGGAGTTCTTGAACATAGCTGTTGTTTGATCAAGTAGTTTGTGCGCGTAGTATCATTTGACAGGGATGCTGGGGGAGATGGGGGGCATTAGTTAGGGCGTTCCCTGGGATGATATGAAGTCCGATCTTCCAAATCAGCGATTGGCAGACATGGATGCAATTTGCAGTGGGGAGCTCTTAAACCTGGGTGGGGGGGTCTATTATCATCTTAGGAAGGAGATTCTGTGCGGTACGCAGTGAGTTGTCGAGTCTACTGGTCGCTCAATCACCTTCACGGCCCACCCGTACTTGGTCTGCAACACCCCTGCGGCGGCGATTGCGGTGACCGTTCGGCGCTGGCTGGTGCATCGCTGCGGCTGCGCTACCGCGCCCAGGCTCTCGCGCAAACCGGCCAGCTAGTCTGGCGCGATCGACGCGGTTTTGAACAATTTTCTGTGAGTTGGTGACTCGGGTTGGCGCGGTGCCATGCGACATCGAAACAGGCAGACGTGATGAGAGAGTAGCGATGCTTGTGGCGATGGTGGCGACGACGACGGCCAGGCCCATGACGGTGCCGATGTTGATCACGCTGGTGACGGTGATGGCGCCCGCGTGTCGGCGATGGAGGTTTTTGTAAGGTTTTCGACGCGCTCGCGCGCGGGGGTGCGCCCGAATGTTCTTAACATTCGGGCGCGAGACGCCCGTCTGGTCACATTTGATGGACATGTTGAAAAACGTATGGTTTCTGTGATAATTTGCAATGGCGCACTGAGGCTTCAATCTGTGTTCTGGATACTCGTTCTTGTGGTCTGCGCGAAACCTTAGGG